ACAAAGTGTAGATTTCTGAAAGCCATGGACCAATAATTCATATTATGCTGACCTCAACATTTATACCTTAAGAAGCATGGTGTGATTGATGACAGTATTAAACTAGTGTCCAACGGTGAGTTCATTCTTCTTTCTGGATTCGAGTAGACAGGGTACTTACATTTGCAGTACATTGACCATTATAAGGCGTTATAAAGTTTAGTGAGCAGCTTTTTGCAACACATCCGCATACTGCAAGAAATTGATAAAATAACAGAAACAACCATAACCATATGGATTATCAAATGTTCAATGGTGAGAAAAAAAAAACCATAAGCATATGGATAAACAAAGCAAATAGAGTAGTGCTTACCTGGAACGCATCGGGTTGCAATTCAAACTGCATCAAATCAAGGGCAACGTCGCAGCTCTCTGCTACAATCGGGTCAGGATCCTTCTGGAACTTTCTTAGAAGCTGCAGCGCCAAAGGGTCTGCAAGGTACATAACAAATCACAACACAGCAGACATCAGCACACACACACACACACAAACACACACACACACACACACACAAACAAAAACACACACACACACACACACACACACACACACACACACACACACACACACACACACACACACACACACACACACACCTAGAAACTGGAACTAGCGAGTCCTGATCACCGTAACACAGCAAGCACGTCTCTCCGTACCTGCAACCGAGCCTAGAGCCACAGCAGCTTCGTGCCGAACCATGGCGTGGCATGAAGTGTCTTCTAGCGCCCTGACAAGAGCCTGGGCAGCAGTTTTATTCTGTAGCTGGCCCAAAACATAGGCTATCTGATGAAAAGCGGGGGAAGGGGGAAGGCCAGGTGTGTGGAAGGAGGGGGGGGAAGAGGGGGGGAGAGGAAGAGGGAAGGAAGAGCAGAAGCGGCAAAAAATATCCTGGTCGAGCAGGGAGTTGACGCTTCCCGAATAACCGCTGAACATGTTTTAAGTTTCCTCAAAATGCAAAATTTAAAACAATACTAAAAAAAAGGAATCGCAATGCTGCTACTATGAGGATAAAACCATGCTGTGAGTAAACACCACATCCAACCACATCCAACCGCACACCAAACCACACCATGCCTTACCTCGTGCCGCAGCAGAGCACTGGAGCAGGTCTCAAGCACCTCAACAATCGCAAACATAATGGTGCTGCTGTAGGGGTACACCACATCCAACCACATTCAACCACATCGAACCCGACCACACCACACCATGCCTCACCTCATGTCTCACCACACCACACCATGCCTCACCTCGTGTCGCAGCAGAGCACTGGAGCAGGTCTCAAGAGCATCAACAATCGCACCCACCGCTGCATTTGCACCGCCACCATCAACACTGCTACCACCAGCAGTAGCACCACCAGCAGCAGCATCGGCACCAGCAGCAGCAGCAGCAGCAGCACCAGCGCCGCCATTGCTAGTGGCAGCTGCTTTGTCTCTCAGAGCAAAGAGAGCACCATAGCGATCGTACATGTCTGCATCTTCTTGCAGGAGAAGCTTCCTGAAAACACACAGCACGCGGGAATACAGGGACGAAACAGCGAGCAAAGAGAACCACAAAGAGATTTTACATGTCGGCACATGGCGAAGGCACAAGGATTGGGTTGGGACAAACGAGTGGTCGGAATGACATAATTTCCAAGTTTCTCTGTCTCGGTACCTGAGCTCACATTCAACAGCACACTTTGAGACGTCTCAAAAACACCCTCATTTCACGTTTTAAGACCTCTCCAAAACACCCTCACTTCACGTTTTAAGACGTCTCAAAAACACCCTCACTTCACGTTTTGAAACGGCTCAAAAACACCCTCATTTCACGTTTCTCTGTCTCTGTACCTGAGCTCACACTCTTCAGCACACTGCTAACAGGACCGTCACGCACAAAGCCATCTAGACAAGACCTGTTTTCAGCCACCAGGCACAAGACCATCACGCACACACACAGCATGGCATAACCGTACAGTTCCTACGTTCCAGCTACCTGCTTTGCTCTGTGCTCGCATTCTTAGGCGCATTCCCAGCAGGGTCAACCGATATGAACCGCTTCCGGCCCGGCACGCACACAGCATGGCATATCTATACAGAACCTTGAATTTCTTTGAAGTACCTGAGTTCCTCTGTGCTCGCGTTCTTGGGTGCACTCCCAGCAGGATCAACAGACATGAACCGCTTCCCCTCTCCCTCCCCTTGCCCCTCACCCTCATTCTCCCCCTTCCCCTTCTCCCCATTCCCCTTCTCCTCCTCCGCTCCCCCCTCCCCCTTCCTCTCCCCCTTCCCCCCTCCCTCCGCCGCAGCTAGGCTGTCCTGTAGCCGCCGAACCGCCAGCTGGCACGTCTCCCGAACCTCGGGCGCAGGGTCGGCGAGATAGGTTTGGAGGAGAGGGAGGGAGGAGGCTTCACCAATGGCGCCCAGAGCCTCTGCTGCCTGCAACACGGGGAGTATGATACAGTGCAGTACGGTGCAGAGCAGTGAGTTTATAGTTGGTTCCAAATTCCAACTTCAAATCATGGAGGAACGGTGTGGTATGTAGTAGAAGGGAGGGAGAGCATGCAGGTGACTTCTGAGTCGACTCAAAAGTCACCTCGTATAGTAGTAGGGGGGGAGAGCAGGCAGGGACATAGTTTCTTACGCTACCCTGAGACTTTGAACGTATGCTGCCTGCGGCATCGAGAGAACGATGCGGTGCAGTGCAGTGCGGTGCAGAGTGCTGAGTCAGAGTCAACTTTTTTCATCTCACACCTTACCGAGTTCCCACCTCGTGCTGAACAATTTGGTTGTATGACGAGTTCTCACCTCGTGTCGAATAATGGGATGGTACGATAAGTCTTTGAGCACCCGAGTAAGTGCAGGCACCGAAAAAACATCGCCCATCTGCCCGAGAGCAAACGCTGCCTCGTGGGCCAACAGCACCGACTTATCCTCCATGCCTGGGCAGGTGAAGAGAAACATCCGGGCAGGCAAAAGAATAAGCGGAAGGAAAGGCATGGCTCATTTTCAGAACTTCCTCTCAAAGAAAGGCATCGTCAAATCAACAGTGAGCGGAATGCATGACAAATTTCATAACCCCAATTTCTTCCGAAACCCTAGACCCGGTTGCCCATAAACCCCGAATCGCCAATATCCAGACCCGGCCGTAAGACTTTCGTGATTCTGATTGGAGATCCGAAAGACGATTTGCAACAAATCCGCGGGTATCCGGCACTGAACGTTGGCCTGACACCACGGTGCAGTGCGGTGCAGTTTGGTACGGTTCAGTGCACTGCATTTCGTGCAACGACCAGCACACAGCACCAGGTAACGTACGCGGAACTTCCGACGGAGCATTACCAGTACGCGGCATCCCCGCTAATGAAATATTCGCCTACCTTCTATAAGTGCCTGTTGCGGAGCTTCCCCCTTGAGGTTGCGCAAAGAGAAGAGTGCGCGGATGCGCTGCTCTATGGGCAGCGCGCGGTCGAGCAGCCGTTGGCGCAGCTCCGCCACGACCTCCCGCGCATTCGCGCTAGAAGCAGGTTCGTTATCAACAGCCATGTGCTGCCAGGAGGATCAACGGATCGAGTTGGGAAGGCTGGAAGAATGAACTGATAAGGTTCTTTATCCTATTGGAATCTACGATCGGAAACAACAGAAAATAACGGAAATCTAATGCAAAAGCGAGGTCGAATAACTAGTTGTCTCAGGTGAAGAAAAATGTTAAGACAAAGAAACACGTTGCTCGAATCCTATCCCGACAACGCAGCGAGGTGGTGCGTTGGTGTTGGTCAGCCAAACGTTTCTTTTCAAGCTCTGAAATGCCATGGTTCTCGTGGTAGAATGTTTGTTTGTGTTGTGTAGCCGGGCTGTCAGGACGCGGTAAAAGTGCAAATCTCGCAGGATCGTCTGCAAATATCAAGCCCCACAATCGAGTGGGCAGATCGATTGACGAAATGTGGCGACTGCAACGTTGTAACGAACGCACCTGAGAATTGACAAATCTCCTGCTATCAGTGATCAGTCGCATTTTCTCACTGCACAGAAATTTTGGCACAAAAACTTGACTGTAGTATGGTTACAACGTAGTTAATAGGATAACCAATCTGCATATCGATCGCGACTGACGATCGATTGTCTACTTTGACCGGGTCCTTAGATGGGGTACGTTGTCTGCCGCGCAACTGGCATCTCCATGGCGAATTCGCCTGTGCTCACGATCTGCCTTCACGACTTAGGTTACTCTTTTCCCGAAAGCATTGTTACATATTGTCAAACCATAATCATGAAACTGTTAAGTTCGTGAATTGCAGAAATCTCCAGAACCAACCAGCACCCTGCTCATCAGAGATGCAGCAGGGTGTTTTGCCCTGGTACTAAAAGCCCTGAACAAGTTCTTTATTGGAATCAACTGCAGGCCAGCACGGTACCATGTTATCAGAACCGAAAACTGTACAGCTTTCAAAACCGTGACGGTGAATGCAATTTACCGGTAGCATACACTATGAACTAGGTATGAATCTAGACCGAACTTAGGTCCAAGGAGGTGCGCATTATGCAGGCAGCCCAAAAACCCTAAACAAGAAAACACTTAGGAGCGGGGGGGGATAGGGAGGTGGGGTGGGGGCGGGATGGTTAAGCAGAGTCAGTTTTGCGAAGGGGTGATGATACGTGTGGTTTGGCGCTTGCCGGCTGGTGGGACGTGGCTGGTGAGACGAGAAGGGGGTGGGACGTGAAGGGGATGGGGAATGACGGCTAAGGACCATCCTTGGGTGGTTCTAAGAGCTCCTTCTGGAATTCTCAGCAGCAGCAGCAGCAACAGCAGCAGAAGAAGAGGAGGAAGAAGAAGGAGCAGAAGTGGTTCCAGCCGCAGAAAGGGCACCAGAATCAGCAGCAGCAGAGGCAGCTGAAGCAGCAGCAGGAGCCCAGTGTCTCCTGAGGGAGGAGAGCACCCAGAGGGCCTGGGGCTCCAAAGGGGCTGTTGGGAACTGTTTCTAGGAACTGCTGGGTGGCGTGGTGGACGCATCACCAGGGGTGGGTGGGGCAGCAGCACCAGAATCAGCAGCAGCTGAAGCAGCAGGAGGAGCCCAGTGTCTCCTGAGGGCGGAGAGAACCCAAGGGGCCTGGGGCTCGGAGGGAGGCGGGGGAATTGACGGGGGCCGACTGCGACGAAGCTCGTCGGGCCGGTCGATGTACCTGGGAGGGGGTAGAGAGGCAAGTAGACCCAGAGAGAGCGACACGGGAAAGAAATGAAGGTGAGGTGGGAGAACCTCTGGGCACAAAAAGCGGCAGAATGAAAAGCCTAGAAACCTCAATGGGGTGTGGAATTCAGAAAGAGTCCGAAACAGAGAGCCTAGAAAGAGTCCAGAAAGGCTAGAAGCAAAATTAATTCGACGGGAGGATTGAAGGTCTGGCGTTAAAACAGTCCAAAGCTTCGGGTTTAAAAATAATACTTCAAATGTGCGTGCAGCACGCCCACATGTAGGGAGAGCAAGATTCGTACTCGATATAAGCCATGGGAGCTGCATCCCCGACGCGGGTTCGAGTTGGGAGCACTCGAGTGTAGCCTCCAGCTCTATCCCTGAAATTAGGGTGATTAACAAAAAGGGGGGAAGAGGGCGCAGTGTGAGAAATGGCATGTAAGGAAGAGAGGAAGATGAAAACTCCTACTCAAAGAAAAGTGGGTGCAGGAACATAGCTGACAATGTTACGTTGGAACAGTTTTAAGACGTCTCAAAACTACGGAAGTGAGGAAGCTGGAAACGCCTACTCTATGTGGGTGCAGGAACATAGCAATGAATATTACTTGGTTTTTTTAGTATTCTCAAAAAACATACGCTGCAGGAACATAGCAATGAGTGTTACTTTGGAGCATAAAGTCCTGAATTGAGAGAAATCACCGAGTGGTGCACACACATACACTCTTCTCTCTACAAGCACACTCACTTGTATCTCTCCGACAGGTCGTAGAACAGCTTTTGTAACACGTCCTTCCCCCTCACCACTGCTGCTGCCTCCCTGCGCGATTGCAGTGTACCCTGCATGCAAAGATGGAGGGGCAGCCAGGGGTTGGAAGAGGGGAACAGCGGGAGGAGGGGGGGGGGAAGGGAAAGGGAAAGAGGAGGGTGGGGAGGAGAGAAACCAGGATTGAGGACTGATTGCAGTGTGCCCTGCACTGATGGAGATTGGGAGCTGGGGATTGGAAAGTAAAAACAGGGGGAGCGTGAAGGGGGAGAACGGGGAGGGCGGAGGGGAGAGGAGACGGATTTGGAGAATGATTGTAGCGTGCCCAGGGCGCACAAAAACGAAAAATGGTACCATACTGCTTACAAGTGCGCAAAACTTAACATAAAACCCTACCATTGCCTCATGTTCCTAAAGCACGTACGCAATGTAGCGCAACCATAGCGCACCTCTTTTGCGAGTGTGACCATTCGATCCGCAACGGATCTCAATTCCTTGGCCTGGCAGGTTGGGGAGAGAGGGGGTGGCGGGAGGCAGAGAGACAAGGGGGGGAGAGAGACAGGGAGGGAGCAAATAACACAATTATAGTGCAACCATAGCAAAACCACAGCGATCTGCAACGGATCTCAACTCCTTGGCCTGGTAGGTTGGGGAGGTAGGTGGAAGGGGGGAGGGACCCGGTAGGCATTGGTACGCGGGGGAGGGACGTGTTAGAAACAATAACAGCAATGCAACCAGAAGCCATTTTTAAGGCACCTCAAAAGAAGCCATTTCCTTTTGTTACAATCCTAACTATCTCAGTGCATGCAAGCTAATCATACAATGGAATAACTCCACTATTTGCTGATCCTAACCCCGTCTATTTTTCACAATGGAATCGACTTAAAGGTCACTGCAAATGCATGCGAGCCAGTCCCACAACGGATAGGTTTGGTAGATTCAGCCAATCACACAACAGATAGGTTTGGTAGATTCAGCCAATCACACAACAGATAGGTTTGGTAGATTCAGCCAATCACACAACAGATAGGTTTGGTAGATTCAGCCAATCACACAACAGATAGGCTTGGTAGATTCAGCCGATCATGCAACGGATAGGCTGGGTAGTTTCAGCCAATAATTGCCCACCTTAGCAACAGTGGTTTCGATCCGCTCGTGCTGAATGAGTTGAGACACCATGGTGCTGCGGGGGGGAGGGGGGAAAGAGGGAGGGGGAGAAGAAGGGGAGGAGGGCGAGGAAGGTGTGGGGGGAATGATGGTGGGAGAAGAGGCGGAGAGGGGAAGATGTGGTTTCGATCCGCTGGTGCTGAATGATTTGAGACACCATGGTGCTGCGGAGAAGGAGGGTGAGAGGGGAAGGGGAAGGCGAGGGGTGGGGGGGAAGGGAGAGGGGGGAGGAGAGGGGGAGGGGGAAGGAGACATGGAGGGGGGGCGGAGTTATCTTGATCCGCTTGTGCTGACACCAACGTGCTGCGGAGAAGGGGGGTGAGAGGGGAAGGGGAATGGAGGGAGGAAAGGGCAGGGGGGAGGCGAGGGGAAGGGGGAAGGGGGAAGGGGAGGTTTCGATCCGCTCGTGCTGAATGTGCGGAGACACGATGGCGCTGCAGAGAGGAGAAGGGGAGAAGGGGAGAAGGGGGGAGGGGGGGAGGTGGGGGGCGGGGTGGGGGAAGAAGAGAAGGGAAAAAAGGGTCGCAAAGCATGCGGTCAAACGGGTTACATCTTCCAGCCCGCATCGTCGCATGCAGAAGCGCGAGTTACATCTCCCGGCCCGCACTCGCCTTCATTGGGCGCACGTTTCAGGGGCAGCTAGAACGGGAGAGACGTAACTTGCGCTACTTCCCAAGCCCCGTACCGCGTAGTTCCGCTCCTGTTCCAAAGCACGTCACGACAAGCTACACCATACCGGCTAAATCGTCACCTCGACTTGAAAGTCACCTCCGTTTCTCGGCGTCCTACAGCTCACCGGAGCAATCCCCATCGATGGCTGCTCGCACGACCCAGCTTGCGAAAAGCGTTGCGGTGCTTCATAGCGACTTTCGCGAACAAGTACAGCCGACAATCGATCCCGCAACGGCGACGATCGCGCTGAAGCCCACAGTCTTGGGACTTAGAACCGTGTTGTGCTAAAAGATGACTTTTTGCCTACGAAGTTTGAGTAGGAAGGTGTTCATAAGCAAGTATTTTTATAAGGACATAAACTTGATACTTGGTGTATATGAGGTTCAATATGGGCTTCTATTACTGGTACAAGATGGAATTCCATACAATTTAAACGAGAACATAAAAGAATTCTAGTAGAATCGGTATTTGTATCTTTCTTAGACACAATAAATTTCACTTATCATACACCAAGTATAGCTAGGCAGCAGAATAAGTGAGTTAGAGAATGTGGGGATCGCTGTATGACACTGTCATTTGCCTATAATTTTAATCAAATTAAACGCATTAGATAAGCAGCATGCCACTAGCTGGTGGCTTGTAAGATACTGAGGGTACATTCCGCTGTGGACCATGTCCCAATCGATGTGTCCCAATCACGATTTGCCCGAGTCGCGCTCAAATGTCTCGAGTTTGCATGTCCCAATCGATCGATGTATTGCGACTCTGTACAGACGTGCGACAATTATGTGCGAACGTTTGTGATTGGTCAGAGAATAAACATGCCCACTCGTCCTTGCGCATCACATACACCAACACCTCCATGTCCGCGGTAGATCCTTGGTGATGTCCAGGGAGGCCGCGGAGGGTACAATACTCCTCCGCAGTGCCAATAATTGCCTCAACGGCACATACATCTGCAACTGGGGAAGGAGCATTGGAACTGGGGGAAGGCGCGCTGGCGGGGACGTGCGCGTCCCTGTCAATAATTCCGGGTGTGTCGTCTGGACCAATCACTACGCAGTGTACGCGTTGATGGGGATAGTGGGTTTTGGGGAGATGTCGTCTAGATACATGCTGCATGTGTTGACATTTGGCACCGCGTGCGATTGATGGAATGTGTTGCAATTAGCTGGCGACTGCTCCGTGTTTCACGTCACCCAATGATAAATACAGTTGGCGACAACCACGGGCAGCCCGGCATTCTGACACCTGGCAGCATATGTTGTACGTACGCGTCACAATCGATTCGGACACATCGATTGGGACATGGTCCACAGCGGAATGTACCCTGAGTAAAAATTGTATGCAGATTTACAACAGGGGAATAAAACGGAACACTAATTCCATATGTGCAGTCTGTCATTGACTACCGTATGACTGATGTGGCCAAAGTGTGGTAACTGAAAGAATATATGAAGCCAAAACTGTTGAGGTACATGCAATTGCATCAAATGAGGGGAAAGGAACAGGGACCTTCAAAGAACCCTCCCTCTCTTTCCCTGCAAAGACAAAGGCAAATGTATCAGGACCACACACGGTATGACAATGCATCCCTGATCCCCCTCAGGAAAACCCAGAGCATGTCACTTACATGAGGAGCTGCAACTGTGACCTCCAGCTGAAGCTCTTGTGCAAGAGCGTCTTCTTGCTCCGTTGCTTGATCTGCTGCACGCTTCACCAGGCAAGATGACTCGCTGGTACCTTCCAAGGGAAGAGAATGCAGTGGACGCGTATACAGCTCATCCAAGAGCTTGACGTCAGGGTTCAGAGATCCAAAAAGCTTCAGGCCGAAATTTCCCTGTAAGATGCATACATCAGATCAGTTAGCTTCCAGATTTCAAACACAGTAACTAACCTGAAGGAGCCACAGCAGCAGTTTCCATCCGAAGAGCATGCGGCATGTGGAAAAAAAAAAAAAAAAAAAAAAAGGCAAGGGCCAAAGCGGCCGAACGAAGGGGCTGCTCCGGTGGAGCACCTCCGGTTGGGCACATCTCAGAACACCAGAGTGCAGGTGTAGGCATGCAAAGGTCTCACGAACCACAAAAAAAAAAAAAAAAGAGAGAGAGAGAGAGAGAGAGGGAAGGGGAAGGGGCGTCGGCATGAACATTTGCGGGCATTGGATCTAGTTAATCGTACGCACAACCTACTAGCCAAACGCCCCTGCTTAAAAGAAGCCCGTCCCGAATTACCGAGTCGGATGGTAGAGCGTCACCACTCTCACGCGATTGGTCCAGAGTTTCACGTGGGTTTCGACAGGACTGGCTTCCGATTCCCTAACCGAACCGCCGCTGGGGTTTTTCCGAACCTACAATTTTCCGTTGACTTCCTTGTGTAATTCGAGTCTTGAGTTTTAACGAAGCACGCCCCATGTTGCCCCCACACCCATGGTCCACTGGCTACAGATATGCCGGGGGGTGGAACGATCGAGGGGGGTGGCCCCTATGAGTTCGCGGTCACTGACAAGCTCGTCACGACCATGCGTGGGCGCCTGCGCACGGCATTTCCATGGTGGAGCTCGTGGTGCGAGAGCAGTTTCATACTCTCGGTGATCGCCAATGGCTACTGGATGCCATGGAAGCATGGACCACCCACGCCGTTCCGGCAAGACAACCACGCGGGAGCGCTAATCCATTCCACGTTCACCAAGCAGGCAATAACCGAGCTTCTCGAGAGTGGTGCGGCCACACCCGCCCCCGCGGAACAACAGCAATGCATCAGCCCGCTAAATGTGGTGGTTCAAAGAGAAAAGTGCCGACTGATTCTTGACCTCCGAAGGGTGAACCAAAATTTGTGTATCCCCAAATTCAAGTACGAAGGACTGAACCGGGTGGCAGAGCTCGTTCATGAAGACGACTGGATGTTTGCAGTCGATTTAAAATCAGGATACCACCACGTTGACATCCACCCTTCCTACTGGAAGTTCCTCGGGTTCCAATTCGATGGGCGCTCGTACGTCTTTCGATCTCTGCCATTCGGGCTGGCGACAGCCCCGTTCGTTTTCACACAGCTCATCAAGCAGCTCGCCCGTCGTTGGCGGGCTCTCGGGGTGCGATTCATCCCTTACGTCGACGACATCCTTTTTCTGTGTCGCACGGCAGCAGAAGCGCGAACCACGGGTCAGATGGTGGTGCAAGACCTCAGCAAGGCTGGACTGGTTATCAATTCCAAGAAGTCGCACTTGCAACCCACCCAGCAGCTACAGTTTTTGGGTGTCGAGCTGGATACACAGCGCGGCCAGTTCTCCATTGGTCCCGAGCGGCGAGCATCGTTTCATTCAACCATTCGCGAATTATGCATGGCTGGCAAGGCCGAACGCAAAGTCCCGATCCGCCACGCAGCCAGAGTTACCGGCATGCTCGCGTCGATGTCGCTTGCCATCGGCGCAACCGCGCGCGCATTCAGCCAGAATCTACTACAGACCATTCAGGATGCCCCTTCCTGGAACAGCAAAGTGCAGTTGGTCCCTGCGGTCATCGAAGAGCTCGAGTTTTGGCTACATGAATTTGACAGATTCAATGGAGCCCCATTCCATGTCCCGAACAGCTATGACGCAGTAATCCATGTGGACGCCAGCGCACACAGCTGGGGAGCGACACTAGATATGTTTCCAGGGAGGCGAATCGAGGCGAGCGCGACCATGCCCGTGCACCTCACGACAGCCTCCAGCACACAACGGGAAATGGACGGAGTCCTATGGGCATTGCAGACATTCTCGGGAAGGATCCAGCACCGACATGTCCTCGCCAGAACCGACAATCAAGGTGTCTTCTTTATTCTTCGCAAAGGTGGTTCGCGGACCCAGATGCCCACCTGCATGTAGGCCTCAATCAAATCATCCACACCAACACCAAGCCTGTTGAAGTCTCGGCTGTCCATCAGCAGCAACCTGTCTGTCTCCGTTCCCCAAGTCCCATCGGGATTCTGCAATCAAATCCATAAAAATCGGTCAGCTACAATATGGGAGGCAGTTTGTTGCACAAAAGTTTCCAAACAAGTCACAAATTGGTGGTACCTTGTAGGAAAGGTTGGTTCCAAGCATGTCCCATGAATGAATCCCACTCTCAAGCTTCTCAGCAAGTGGAAGCTTAGCCCTCCGTGCATAGATGGCCACTGGAAAGAAGCCACCTGCTCCAGACCCCACCATCATCCTCAGGTCAGAGGCGTAGATGTTTCCTTTGCTTGTCGGAATGGTCCCCACGTGGTACAGCCTGCCACTCACACTCTGGGAACTCCAGCCGTTGTTCCCAATCAGGGCCTGCAATGACGAGGTCAAATATGAGTAATCTGCAGGACACCACAGTATCCAGCAAAAAATATTATGGAATGAATGAGACATGAGAGCCGAAATAAGTGACCCAAAAAAGTGAGGTACCTGAACAATGAACCGATCATAGCGCTGCTCAATCGCCATGAACTCCTTCAGCTCTTCTTCGTTTGTGATTGTCCACACTCCTTGACCTGCGTTAGCATAAGGAACCTTTACTACAGCCAGGCCACCCATTCTGCCGACCCAAAGGGGAATTTCCGGCTTGGCGACATCCCAAATGGTCTCAGGAGTAAGGATGGAGAGTCCGGTTGACGCCAGCGCGGCGTTGTGAAGATCGTACGCTTTTGCTCCCACCGCCTTGTTGCGTCCGCCAGCCAAACAAGCAAGGACAGGGTTGAAAATCATGGTCCGCGTCACGGGAGGTATTCTAGTCCATGGCCGCTGAGTCACGTATCTAATAACACCTCTGACTTGTCTCCACTGTGGCTCTGCAGCACCAGAATTCGTTGGGGAACATTGCTGCTTCCCTTCGCTGGAAGACGAACTCGTACGTGAGACTTTCGCTCCTGCCATAACAATTGGCACTTCCTCCTTCTGAGCCTTCTGGACGGCTCCAGCGATGTTGATCTCCAAAATGCCATCCGGACGCCACCTCCATTTCGGCTCTGGTTCATCAGCGTAGCAGGGAGTGAGGTAAATTTCTCCTCCCGTGAGATCCGCCAGCGCCGCCGCATATCCTGAAGCTTCCATCTGATTCTTATCGTACAGAACAGCCAAAATCCCCTCCGGAATCGGCTCTCCATTCCACTTGCCAGAATTTAGCACCGGAAGAAACGCCTTTTCTAGCAGAGTCTTATAGCCTGCATGCTCCAGGTCTTCATTTTCCATGGGCATGGACTTCTGTCCTGACGGACATGAGTTCGTCTCAATGACAACAAATCGCTTCTGACCCTTCTCGGTAGTCACAGAGAACAAGTCAGCTCCGCCCCACTGAAAGTACCTGCACAGAGGAAGCGATGGTTACTATTTGATAACATAGTCAAATGGCGAAAATGGTATCGATTTTCTACGATGACTCACTTGCACGCATATGAAAGCGCCTCTTGAACCGCTTCTGGTTTTGCTGCAGGATGAAGGTGAACATATCTCTTGGCGATCCTCTCGTTTCCGAGCCCAAGAAACGACCTCACAAGAGGGTGAATCTGTGCATTCAGCACTCGTGGGTAGAAATGAGAGGCCGGATCAAACGAACCGGGCTTGTACAATTCAGTCACCCTCAAGTCCTTCCTCAGCGGAGAAGGCGGAGGTGAAAGGCTCTCTTCCATTCCAGCCGGCATGGTCAGCAGAGGGGAAATTGTCAGATAAGAAGATCCAGATGTTGAATTTGTTTTCAAGCTTATGCCGTACTACAGGAGGCCTGTGACAGTGAAATTGTGGACAAAACCACCAAAACAAGTTTCTCAGGATCAGTCAATAGGCATAAAACTAAAAAGCCGTGACGATCAACTCGACTGGTCGTCGACAGCCACCTGAGTGAGTGGTCTAGGAGCTCTCAAGCATCCAATATCTGCGTCTGCAAAGCACACGCTCAGGCAGAGTTAGTTAGGCTGGTCATTTTCCTGCATGACTGGGAGGGATATTCCAGGTTCACTGGAACCAGCAGCTCCTCGTCATTGCTCAGTCCAGTCCAGTTCAGGCTTCTGCTGGGTTTGTTGGAGATTCCCAAGATGCGAATGTCTCTGGTGGTTTGATTCCACTGAACCGTGATTCCTCGCCATGCCGCGAATTGCGACTCGTGATGTGGAGTCTGCTGCTGGAGAGGGTGATCGGTGACGCGGCATTGAAGCCACATATGGCTGGTCAGACAATTCCAGCCACATGAAAGTGGCTGTCGAAGTGTTGCGATATTGAAAACACGAAGCACTTACACTAAAATTTACTACAAAATATATAATATAGGCACAGGTACAGCAAAGTGACAACTAGTTTCGCTGGCTGGGAAACTCAGCACAAAGCTTAGTCGTCCCGGTAATGAGGTCCATGTCGGCCTGATGCAGCTGCTTCTCCCATTTCAACATCTCCGCCACTTTCATCATCTCCATCTAGGAGCTCATCCTCCTCGTCAAACATCTCCATAAACTTCGCTGTGTCGCTGTCCATCCGTCGTCTGAAGAGTGGCCAAGCTCCAGATTTCAGCCAAAAGGCAAGAAGGCCAGTGAGGCAGCTGATGCCAGTAACAACGGCAATCACTATGAGGAAAACGTTCAGTAGATTCACATTGTTGGTGTCTGTGCCCTCAAACTCATCTGTGGAGTTGGAAAAAAAGGGAAAAAGGGGCAGCAAGCAAAAAAAAATCGAAAGAGGCACGCGATGAGCAGCTGTTCACAAACTCACAGTGAACATGCCATAAACATACATCGGAGCTATCTAGCACGGCACAGAATCCGCAAACTTGCAGATTTAGCAGCTATTTGTGCTAGAATACAATTCCTGTACGCTTTTCAGGCGGCGGAAAGGTGTGAATTCATGCACTTGGGACATCATTTTGCTGAACCTGTCGCTTTAACTCTTGCAGTGCATAAACCTACTGAATCACACCAGAACACAGACCCCAACTTTCAACCAATGGCCAAGTAGCAAGCAACAAGCTGCACATCCCCGATCGCTCAACCAGGTGAAAGCATTTTTTATTTTAATTTTCGTCTTCCAAAACAGCATCGCTAACAAGATAACGAGAAAGTGTGCATACCTCCAGAGGACCGTGAGGTTCTGTCAGAGTTGCAATGAGGGCAGACAAACGTCACATTCAGCTCGTTTTCCACGAGCCGAGTGAGGCGGCCAGATGGCGCGGGAGCGAAGTCCAGGGGGCACAGGTTGAAGCGGTCAAACGCATCGTCCTCTGTCAACGTGTCCGCGTCGTAGAAACCACACTGCTTGCAGTGGCCCTCCGTGAGCTCTGTCAAGGGCTGCAGACAGAAGAAAAGGAATATGTTGAAGAAGGTGGAGGAAGCAGAGTACAGCACTTAATTAAAAACACCAGTCCTCATCGTGGCTGCCGCAGCACTCAGAAGCCACTCATACTGAAGCACAGTGCAGAACTTGCACAGGGAACCCAATCTTTGTCATGAACACAGCAGCACTGAATGGCACCACATCAGCAGAAACCATCCCCACCACAAGAGAAAGGAAAGGCCATAGGAAGACCTCATCAATGGAAGGATGGGCATGGATACGCTGAAGGGCACATGGACCAGTTTGCATGTGACAATCACTAGCATTGGTCAACTCACCGTATAATGAAACCCCCCACATATTTTCACGCCACCAACCAAAGCCATCATTAATCAGTCGAAAGATTTCACCCACCTGGAAGGGCTCACACAGAGTACCGATCTGAAAGAACCCCTGCAGCGCACCCACCTGAAAGAACTCCTGCAGAGTACCCCCACCTGGAAGAACTCCTGCAGAGTACCCCCCCCTGAAAGAACTCTTGAAGAGCACCCACTGGGAAGAACTCCCGCAGAGCACCCACCTGGAAGGGCTCATGCAGAGTACCCCCACCTGAAAGAACTCCTGAGGAGCACCCACCCGGAAGAACTCCTGCAGAGCACCCACCTGAAAGGGCTCATGCAGAGTGAAATTGTAGTCCACGTTTGCTTCCACCACACCGTCGAGCTGGTGCTTGGGTTCTCCCTCGCATTGGAAGTACACGGATGGCTTCCAGAAGGGTAGGTCATGCGTCTGGAAGATCTTGATGCGCTGAAGCCGCACCACCGCGGCTGGTTTGGAGAAACGACACACAGGGATTTGGCAGCAACGGACGGAGAAGGAATATGGAGCGAAATCGTAGACGGCAAGTGCTATGAATAAATGCGTCGAGCTGGAGCTTGGGCTCTCCTTCGCACTAGAAGTACACGGATAGCTTTCAGAAAGGCACTTAATGCGTCTGGAAGAACTTGATGCGCTGAAGTCGCACCACGGCAGATGGTGCGGAGTGCACACACAAGGAATTGATAGGAGAAAAGGAATAGGCACGTGACTTGCGAAAGAAAGCGCCAAAAAAGGTCGTCGAATGTGCATCGACGGGTACGTGAGGAAAGTTTTATAGCCTGTAAAGGAGCACTATGGATCTAAGTCTGGAAAGTTGACGTGAGAGATTCACAGACAGTGAGATCTTGTCGACAAGTGCATACCTTTTCGCTAGATAGAAAGACCATCTCAGAGCTTGATGAAAAGACGAGGTGAGTGCGTGCCCGTTCAATGTGAGATCGCCCTGAGACTTATAGCCTCGAGTACAAAAACGGCACAATTTCGCGAATCGTCATCTCACCTTCAGAGAGAAAGGGCAGGAAGACGGCGAGCAAAAGGCATGTTAGAATGCAGCTGAGCGATAGACCCCTCATAATATCTAGCCCTAAACTGCAGCAAGAAGCACGAGAATCTCTCTATCGAGTTTCGCCGAGTGAAAGACTTTCAGGTGTTACTACGCTCGACTACGTTTCGGCGATAGCTTTGATAGAAAAAGGCAAGTGATGAGGAGGATGGGGCATCTAGGAGTTGATTTCCAGTTTATATTGGTCGGTGCGTTGCGTTCTGTAGCGGTAATTATTTGGAGACACCACTTACCGCGAGAAACACCTATTCAACCGTACTGTACGATCACCGCGGAAATGCCTGCCAGAATGGTTGCACATGCTCCTGCCTGCATCTAGAATCTGAATGAACCTAGTTCGACGACGTCACACCGAGGAACGAGGTTTGGGAAAACGTATGGGGCATCCAGACCACAAGCTATGGGATCTGGATTCTGGAAGTCTACAGAGGGAATGCTTCCTATTTCATTGGAGAAGATCTCTACATAAGCTTCAAATCTAGACGATATCGAAGCTCGCTGAAAGGAGTACACTTACACAATGTTGCCTGGTTGTTGTCAGTCGCCAAACCAGGCCAGGCCGTGAAGCAAAACCAGTCAGAAAGCATCCGAACCAGCGGTTTTGATTCCGCTTTTGCTGTTCGGTCGAGCCAATTTATCCGAAGCTGTTGTCCTGCCAACGGCCTTGGGAACAGCCAACCTGTGGGTTGCAGTTGCTACGAGTCTAGTTTCCGTCAGTTTCTAGGTTCGACTGTGGTGTTCCTTAGCAGTCTGCTTCATGTGTCTGAATTAGTTTTTAGGCCAAATGTTGTCATTAGTCCGGCACTTATGTGAGCCAGGTCGGAAATTCCAGTGCGGAACTTCACCGTGCCAAGTCTACTTGCCTTCTCACTGTGAAGCTCGTTTCAGCAACATATTCCAGCTTTTGTGAGCAAGTATTCACCCACAGAAAAAATGGCTCAAGGGTGAAGTATAACCTTCATTATTCGCGTCATTTCAACGTCATAAACACTCGTCTATTCCCATGTTGTAGCTCGCAAAAAAAAAAACAAAAACAAGAAAAAACACAATAAATCCGTTTAAAGGCTCTTCGAATGGTGTACTGCCAATAGATCCGTCAGCATCATGTGGAGCACATTCCGGAACCTAAAAAACAACATCTCGGCGATCGCGTCGGACGTTCTTGACACCGCGGAGGAGCTCGACCCTGGCCTGTTTGGCAGTGGGCCCGGCTCGCCGTCTCACCACTCGTCCTCGTCAGACCTCCCCGCAATGCATCACCTCCGGTGGGACCTCCCCAGTTTGGACCTCCCTCTCATGGCTCTCCATCATCTATCCCTCCCCCAGTAAAGCCTGCCCCAGATGAACCTCCCCTTGGCACGGCTCCTACCTTTGGTGGCCTAACTGCTTTTGCACAAGCACCTGCAGCAGGTGCAGCAGCAGTGCCGCCGGCGGCGCCAATATCAGCACCAGCAGTGACATCTGCAGTCACGTCAGCTGTCGCGTTAGCAGCAGCAGCTGGGGTCAAGTCAGCAGAATACGGATTAGCATCAGCACCAGCTGCAGAGGAGAGGGGGAAGGGAGGGGAGGAAGGGTGGCAGGCGGGGGAGAGAGCGGGAGAGGTGGTGAGGTTAAGGGAGGAAAAGCAGAGGCTGGAAGGGGAGTTGCGGGCGGTGAGGGGCGAGATGGAGAGAGAAAGGGAAGCTGCAAGGAAGCTGGCACAGCAGATGACAGGTGAGGACTGAGGACAACCTTCCTCCACTTCAGCTCAACGCACCGGACCTCACCAACTCTCACCACAACCCTCCACCACACGTTTGCACACCCCACACACCACACTTCACCACAGCACACCTCACCTCTCCTGTCTGCGGCTACCTTCCTGTCTTTCCCGTCAACCTCCATCTCCCTTCATCTCATCCCGGCCCTTCCCCTTTCTTCCCCTGACACTCACCCACTTCCCCCCGTCCCCCTTTCCGTTCTCTCCGCCCTCGTTTCCTCCCTCTATCTGCAACCGTTTTCGCTCCCTCTTGTGTCCCTTCTTGGCTTTCCGGCAGGCGGTCGAGAGGGGTGGGAGTCAGCCGTTCAGGAGTGCAGCATTCTCAAAGCCGAGAGGCAGCAAGTGAGTTACAGCCACATGCATGCACATGCAGGCACATAGACAGAGTAGGGGCCACATAGACAGAGTAGGGGCCACATAGACAGAGTAGATGTGCACAAGGGAGCTGAGTAGGATCTTGACGCCAGATAGCAGCTGCACAACAACCCACCTCACCCCATCCCAACCCACCCCACCCCACCCCACCCCACCCCACCCCATCCTACCTCACCCCAAGCCCCCCCATCCCATCCCACTCTACCCCACCCATCCCTACCCCAACCCTGCTGGTCAACGACCTGGCAGAGGAGCAAGAGGCAACAAGGTGACTTTTGAGTCGACTCAAAAGCTACCCCCAACCCTGCTGGTCAACGACCTGGCAGAGGAGCAAGAGGCAACAAGGTGACTTTTGTGTCGACTCAAAAGCTACCCCCAACCCTGCTGGTCAACGACCTGGCAGAGGCGCAAGAGGCAACTGAAGAGGAGTCGGCAATCAGACAGCAGACAGAGGAGGGGTAAAGAAATCGAAGGCTCTCTTATACTCACTCCGTTGATTTGTTACCCCATTTGCTTGGCCCCTTTCCTCTTCCCACCCCAGCTGTTCAACGACTTGGCAGGGGCGCATGAGAAGATCAAAGAGGAGGCAGCACAGCACCTCCTCCCCACCACCCCATCCCCTCCTTCCCGCCCTTCACCCCAGCTGTTCAACGACTTGGCAGGGGCGCATGAGAAGATCAAAGAGGAGGCAGTAGTCCGGCAGCAGACAGAAGGGGCGCTGAGGCAGGTGGAGGCTCAACTGGCGCAGGCGGTAGCTGCTGCTGACGCCTCCAAAGCCACTTGGCAGGTACAGATGACGTCAGCAGGCACAAGGCGTTTTACCAGCAAGTGTTAAGAAAAAAAAAGTCTCCCCTTCTTCTTCGCTCGCTTTTTTGTCACTTAATACGAGACAAAACGTCACGAGTTCACCTTGTGATTTCACCACATAACTTCACCTCTTTCTCTTTCCAAATTTCTAGAAAGCATGACACTGAAACATTCTTGTGTTGCGTCTCTTCTGTTTTTCTCAACTCGCAATCCCGCTCTCCTCTCAACCCTTTCTTCTCCCATCCCTCTCTTCTCTCAACTCTCTCTCTTACCCTCTCTCCTCTCACCCCTCTCTCCTCTTACCTTCCCTCTTCCCAATCCCCTCTCCCTTTTCGGCACCCCCCAGGCCGAACTGCAGCAGCTCTCGCGCCAGCTCGCCGAGGCTCGGGCTGCCGAAGCTGGGGCTCAGCTTCGGGCCGCCTCTGCAGCTGCTCCGGCGGCTGCGGCCGCAGCTCAGTCAGAGGAGGTGTGTACCTTGCATGAGAATGGTGGAGGTCGTGTGAGTGAGTTATTTCTTGAGATTAGTATCAATTTCTTCGCCTAAAAAATCAGCAATGGTGGATGTCGTGTGAGTGAGTGGTTTCTTCAGGTAAAAAAGAAAATAGGCGCCTCAAGAATCAGCTCATTCAGAAGAGGTGTGTGCCTTGCATGGGAATGGTGGAGGTCGTGTGAGCATGCTTGCACTACTTGTGAGGCTTATGATGAGTCAGCTTAAGAGCCCCATAACACTTCCCTGCGCTTCCCCGGTGCTCCTCCTCTCTTCCCCTCCCCACTATCGCAGCGATCCCAAATAAAGGTGAAAATGCAAGCAGCTGAGAAAGCCCTTTCCTCTTAACGCACCTCCTTCCAGACCTCCCTTCCTCTCTGCCTCTTTCCTCCCTTCCCTCCCTATGCCCCTCCCCACCATCGCAGCTATCCCAAGTAAAGGCGAAACTGCAGGCAGCAGAACAGGCCCTTTCCTCCCAGCACTCCTCCTTCCAGACCTCCCTCCAACAGCTAAGGGAAGAATGCGACCGTCAGGTGAAAGCAGCAGAGGCCCAGGTGAAAGCAGCAGAGGCCCAGGTGAAAGCAGCAGAGGCCCAGGCGAAAGCAGTAGAGAGCCAGGCGAAAGCAGCAGAGGCGAGGAGGAAAGAAGCGGAGGAAGCAGCAGAGGCAAAGGCAACAGCTGCAGTGGTGGCAATGGAAGAGCAGGCAGTGAGAAGGATAGCAGCAGCATTGAGAGCGGCAGAGAGGGAGGCAGAGGAGAGGAGAGCAGAAGCAGAGAAGGAAGCAGAGGCGAGGAGAAGGGAGATGGAGGAGGCAGCGGCGGCGCAGAGAGGGGAGTTAGAGGGGGTGCTGAGTGCGATGAAGGGGGAAAGGGACAAGACAAAGCGGGAACTGGCGAGGCTGAAACAGCACCTTCTGGAGCTGGTGAGTTAGTGGGATAGGGGGGGAAGGAGAAGGGATCTCCTGAAAGCAAACCAAATTTGATTGACTTACTCTAGCCCTCCTGTGTTGAACCGGAAGCATATCTTGAGACTACTCCATATATGCCCACCCACCCACCATCCTCCAACCAAACCAAAGTAGTTTTTTCATTCCTTTGGAGAAACAGATGAGGCAGGAGGCAGTCATGGTGTAGCACGCACCCCTTTTTTGTACTCTTTCGGCCCCCCATTCTGCCCCCCCCCCCCTCCCCATCCCACCCGACCCCACTCCTTGATCTCCCTCCCCCCACTCTCCCCCTCCTTTTTCCTCTCAGGAAAATGCCGAGTCAGCCAAGGTGGAGCATGAGACCGACCAAATCAAATCCCTCGAGGCGCAGCTACAGGACAAATCCCGTGAACTGGCAGCTCTGCAGTCCGCACTAGCAGACGCACGTTCCGCCGCGGAAGCTGCCAGGAAAGAGGTGGAGAGCCGAGTGAAGGAGGTGGGGGAGGAGGGAGCGAGGAGGGAGAGGGAAAGGGAGGAGGCGGAGAGGGAGAGGCAGGTGCTTCGGGCCGAAATTGAGGCTCGGGATCAGGAGCTGAACAATCTTCAGGCGGCCCTTGGGCAGTTCTACGCCGAAGCTGAGGCTCAGGTATGGTGGG